CTAAATAGCCTGCATTAGAAAGACAGAGCAATTAAAAAGGCAAACTCACCCAAATTCATGGGCTGCACTCTGGGATGGGGGAAGGATAAAGGTCTGATTCATAGGAACATCTTTGGCTCCTTTATTTAGCATCCTCTATATTATATATGCAGACAATCAAGAATGTCAGTTTCTCCAGACTGCTTTTGCATAAAATAGGATGGTTTGCTACTCAGTGCTAACCCTGCTGTGACCCCTCCTCATCAGCCCATTGCTCTGCTCCAAGCTAGCGGGCTCCTGCCTGCTTCCATGGAGCTCTGCATGAGCTGGGGCAGCCTCTGGAGGAGCCTTTTTGAATCTGCTAGCTTGGGGGAAGTTGATGCACCTCTGGTTCCCAGCAGGACGGGTGCTCGTGCCGTTGGGGTCACGCGATGCTGCAGGTGATGATGGAGCAATGTGAGTGTGGTCTGACTGCTGATGCTCTGCCTGCATCCAAATTGCACAGGGATGCTTCTCATTGCACCACAGTGCAATAGGATCCTGCATCTAGCTCTAGGCTCTGGAGCCCAGATGAGCTCCAGCAGCAGCTGGAGAAACGCCCCGGGAGATGTGGAGCCCGTGTCTGGGTGGAAACCTGCTCAGCCCTGCTGATAAATGAGACGCTGCTGCTTCCCCTCCCACCCACACACTTCCACTTTCACTTCACATGTGGGACCCAGCACTGCGATCCAGAGAGGGGCCATAAATAACCCCTCCATTAACAGCCTGCAAGGTGACTGTGCATTACAGCTGCCTGTAAGGGCTGGGCTGTCCTCCTGCCATAGTACGGGGTGCCCTCCCAGCAGAGGCCCCCAGCAATGCCACCCGTGTCCCCAGCAGGGACGGAGGGCACAGCAGGAGCCCAGGCTCAGGAATTACATCTGAGAGGCACAGCTGTGCTCAGCCCATCTCTTCCCAACGTCACAGACAAACTTTCCTTGACCTGGAACCAGATGGGAAACAAACAGAGAGGTAAAGGATAAGTTAATAACTCATTTCCATGAAACCAAGCCTCACATTTCTGCTACCGTTTGGTCCTTCTTCCTTCTGTAGCAACAAATATTGGTGAGCTGTACATCCTTCTGTGTTGGCCCCATTGCTGCATGCACGGCACTGCTGCTTATGATTGCCACACCTGGTAAGGATGCCAGCATCTTTACTGATGGTTTGAATGTTGGTGGTGCATTATGCAGGAAACATTTTATTGGATAAAATAAAAGAAAAACTTCAGTCTTTACCCCCTTGCTAATAGCAAGTTGAGTAATAAAGACCAACTAATCAACTGGCTGCTGAATCCATCTGGAGATCTGCCCAGATTTCGAGCAGGGATTGTTGGCTGATGGCATTTTGTATATCTGATCTTTATTGATACATCTGCCTGGGAGAAGAGCAGCTCTGCATGAAATGATTTGGAGTGAGGATTTTCATTCACACATTTGAAGAGGGGCACTCATCACACAACCCGATCTGTTTTTCTCCAGGTACATCAGATAGTTTAATAAAAGATTCCCTTCCCAATCAACAGCCCTAATTCTTGACATGAGAACTGGCAAATGACAGCAGATTTTTCAGATACATTTCCATAACTGATAATGGATATATCTTCGTGCCGTGGCGTTTGGGGGCTCCAGAGCACCTACCTGCTGTGTCACTTAATGGTGGGAGAGGGGCAGGCACCTGCACAAAGGAGGTTACAATGATAACATTTATGTCAGCTCTTAGAGAACTGATTACTCTTTGTGTTTACAAGGCAAAAAATGCCCATTTGCATACGAAGGGTGCAGACTGGCACTGTCATGGCTACAACTTCCCTAGAGATGTTGCTTCACATCACACTTAGAGCTGAGTGGAAATTTCTCACTTCCTCTTCCAGAATGAAATGATGGATGGGACTGGGTGTTATTTTTGGTTTTATCATATATAGATACATACCTGTATTTATAGTCATATGTAGAGATGGAGATCGTGCTAAAAATGAAAACTCAAAGCAGAATGAAGGAATTTTTGCAAGGCATGGTGTCCCACCCAGACATACATCCTGTATCCATCTCCTTGTATCCAAGACGACAGACCTGAGCTCTTGCTTGACCCAATGATAGGCAAGCTTTGCTCTCTGGCTTTCAGGGCCAAGTATTTCCCCCAGTCTGGGGCAGGGCACAGCATCTGTGGTCCACACCCCTGGAGCAGTGAGTGGGATCCTCACTCCAGTGCAGCAGGGCCAGAAGCAATGAGCTCTGGCTGTGCCTCTGCTTCGTGTTTGAGGGCAGCCAGCAGCGGAAAGCCTCAGCACCTGGCAGCCAGATGTGCACGGCTCCTAAGGGACCATTGCTGGGCCATCTGTGGCACAGCTACGTGTCTTCATCTGGAGTTCCAGGAGGGTCAGGAGGGAATGCTGTAGCCTGGGCAAACCCACTGGAACATTTATGAGCACAGGCAGAACCCTGGTCTGGCCGCATCACCTTGTCCCAGCACAAAGAGGGGTGGGGAAGTCACCCCCCATGCCACAGCTCCCCACCATTGCTTCCTTCTGCTGGGTCACCGTGTGATGCCAGCTAAGAACAGACCACCCCAGCACTCAGGGTTGTTTTATCAGTTCCTGCTCTGTTTTCCTGCTGTAGTACAGAGATGATGATGCTTATAGATCCAACAAGTGACTTGGAAGTTCATTGCACGCAGCCCACCTTGGCTTATGATCCTCAGGATGGATTTTTCTAGGTAAGCAGAGCTCATTCTCCAGCTCCAGGGCTCAAGCCATGACCTTCCCTGCTCACAGCCATCTTTGAAGTGATGCTAACCCCATTCTCCATCCATTCCTCTAACTGCAAAATGGAGATAAGCATTTCTCAGCATATTGGGAGCGGGGCTGTGTGTGCTGACACGTACATCCAGCGCCTCCCAGGAGCACAGAGGTCATTTGTGTGCCCTAAATTCAACCTGTGCACAGCCTTTGAACCATCCACGGGACATTTCAGATTTGGTAAAAGCAGTAATAATTGCTTTAATTAGACACTAATGAATATTTATTTATTTATTTATTTATTTATGAGTACAAAGAAAATTCAAACCATCTGGAATGGAAACTACTTCTTTATGCACTACGGCTTTATAAGCTGAATGAACTGCCCTAAATTTAACCCAACTTCTTGCTGCTGGCTGAAGCAATGGATCCAGGTGGCTGAAGCAGCAGTAACCCCAAAACCAGTGAGGTGACCTGCACACAGCGGGCACTGTGCTGCCTCGTAGGAGCTCAAACCAGAAGCCTCTCTATTTTGCAGACACACAGCCGATTGGACAGCCATAATGCAGAGGCAATTAATACATAGATTACTGTATTGGAAAGGCTCCCTGCCACAGAGCACAGCATCCAGCCTAGGGAAAGAAAGACATCTTGCTCACAGATGCCCGTGGGGTTATCCTGCAGCCTTGGGAAGAGTTGCCCAGATAAAAATTGATTGCTGGATGCATTCCACTCCTTTGGCGCTCAGACGTGACCGAGCCTTTGTACCAAAGCCCAGCAGGCTGGAAACCTTCCTGGGAAGATGGAGCCCTGTAAATAATTTCCTGAGTTAAAATAGCTACACAAGAGATCCGTGCCTTACGGCTGCGAGTTCAACAGGTAATGTGTACTCATGCCACCTGCAGCTGTGTGCTTCTGAGCGAAGGCAAAGGCTGACACAGAGCTTCATTCTTCTCTTAGGAGCTAGGGAAAACCCTCGAAGGACTTGTTAATACCTTTTACGTGCATAAATATTGGTGTTTTGGGGGGGAAGTTTTTGTGGCTACTTGTCACTATGTGCGTTTGAGCGACCAGGTTCTGCTGGGCTGGGAGGTGAGGGGCAGGAGGGTCCTTCATGCACTGCAGCTTTGTACTTTGATTTCTCTGCAGGGCATTTGGCAGCAGTAGATGCCACAGAAGTCAGTGCAGACAGAAATTATGTGTCTGATATAATATAGTTTCAGTCTATGCTTTTTAAGTAGCCACTCAGCTGGGAGTAGCCAAAATGCCAGGTTACAAACTGGGAGAATTAATTCTTTCCCTGCGCCTGACCAATGCTTTACTCTGCCCTTCCAGCCGTAGCTCTTAGACGCACACACTGCAATTTTGTTTCATTGTGGAGATGCTGCAAACTTTCTGCAGACTGACAGCTCCTGCGTGGCAGGGACACGTGCTGGAGTGCAGCACATTTCCAGCCTGGAGCCCCCTCCTGGAGGAAAAGACAGCTTTGCAAGAGGGCACATCCTCCTGCATCCAGGGCCGTGTAGTTCTGGGCTGCGTGCTCCAGGGCTGTTTGGACAGAATGAGGAACTTAATTCCACTTTTTAGGACTGAGCATGCAGCAGCCTTTTGTTTCTGTCCCCATCTCTTTCCTTGCTCAGGGAGAGCATTTCCCTGCTTTTCTAGCAGCCTTGCGCACTGCAGCCCTGCACATTGCAGCCTTGCAGCCACCACGCACCCCTGCCTTCTGGGGCAAAGCAGCCCATGGTGCTGCAGTGGGGCCTCCAGCAGCAAGGGCTGAGCCAGCGCTGCCTGAGTGCTCTCCCTACGATGGTACCCTGTGAAAGGGAGACTACTGCAGCCTTTGTGCTTGTAAAAGAAAGCAGGCGTGCACCGAGGGGTTTGCAAATGGGCAGTGGGAGCCTGGCGGCTGGACCCTGCCAATGCCTGGGGGAGAGGTGGGCATCCAAATGCACCGCGGTGCCTGCTGTGCACAAAGGAGCAGAAAAGCCAGAGGTGCCCAGGGGACTTTTGAGGAAGAAAAAGCAATTTTTGGCAGCAGGCACCTCGAAGCTGGGGCAGCCCAGCAGAGCTTTGGGAATGGGCTCGGTAAGGCTCACACCCCGTGGTGAGGGTCACAGTGCGACATCTGCCAGCGAGAGCGGAGCGCGGGGGGCTCGCCTCCCCACCGCCTGTGCGGGGCTGACCACTCCCCCTCCCTTTGAATAGGCGGCCCTGCTGCAAACACTATGGTATTTCCATCCTCCCCAGCTCCGGCGCAGAGGATAGCACCAGGTAGTTGGAGAGAGACCGGAGACAAGTGTGGGGAGCCGTGGAGGACATAAGCTTTTTCCTTGGTCTTCCAGATAAGTAGTAAGTGGTGGTGGGGAGAGAGTCTCTTTAAAGGCTGTTGTGGGCTGTAGGTACCTGTGTTCGTTTCCAGGATAGATGGAAGGTTTGTTTTGCTGGGCATTTACTCTTTTTCTCCATTCCCAGTTTCACCCAGTGGCTGATTCGTGTGTTTGCTAATAGTTCTGCAGTGTCTTACGAATGTCTGAGCTGATGCTTCCCTTTAAAAATCCTTTTTAATTTCATATATAGAGAGAATATCAAGTTGATATGTGTGCTTAGGAGAACAGTATTGTTTCCCTCATCTAGGTAGCAGGCTGCGCCCTGGCATTCTTACAGTGGATTACATTTGCAGTTCCTTCTCTTTCTTGAGAGGAGGCTTTGGTTGTGGGGTGGGGGTTTGCTTGTGCTCGCTATGGGGCAGGAGACCAGCGAGGTGCCCAGGCCCAGATGCTCCCTCAGCCCCTCCAGCACAGCTGGGTGCACAGATAGGGAGCGGGCAGGTTGACCAGCCCCCCCAGAGAGGGCTGCTTTCTGTCTTTGGAGGGATGCTATGTGGAATTTGTTGCCTCAGCTCTGAATGTTTTCCAATAGCAATGGTATCCCCAAAGGGCAGAAAATGCCACAGGTGAGCATTTTGCATGTTTGTCTATGGAAGGAATTGGAGTCAGGAGCCCTGAGTGTGGCAGCCACAGCGATGTGCAGCTGTGCTGCTGCTGCTCCTTGGGATGGGCAAAATCCTGCAGCCCTCTCGCAGCCAAAAAGGGCCAGCAGGCACCGTTTGGCCCCAAGCAGCACAGCCAAGGCCTTTCCCCTTCCTATTATCCCCTAAATCCTCGCTTTGCATGCAGCCACTCTCTTGGTATTACAGTTACCATCAACTTCCCATGCTGTGCTGTCAACTGACACCTTTGGGGGCTGTGGGCTGGGTCCGGGGCTGTTTCCTGGTTACAGCCCTGTTCATGCTGCCTCTGATCCAGCTGGGGTTTTGACCTCACCCCTGCCTGTCCTGTAAACAATTTTCTGGTAAGCCAGATACTTAGGGCTACCCAGACGTTTGCACTGGGGAATGGCCCTGCTAACCCAGGGGGGTGAGATTTCCATGGAGGACTGCTGTGTATTTTGTGCACCCAGCACTGGGATTGTGCATGGCTCCTGCCCTGAACTGCAGGGTGCCATGTGCATCTCCAAACCAGAAAGCACCCCCACGCTATCATCACCTTTTTATGTTTGGCATATGAAGGCACAGAGAAACTCTGGTTTCTCTTAACTTTCTACAGCTGCTGAGTACTTAATGCTTAGTGGGATTTTTGAAACACCAGCATCTTTGGGCAGGCTGGTCCCAAGCATCCTTCTACAGGTCATATGGGGAGTGTGGAGCAAAACAGCAAATCTAGCTGGGCTTTCAATCCCTACTCTTTCCCCCTTTGCTTTGCCCTAGCTGAGGATCTGGCCCATGCTGCTGTACTGTAAGTCTATTATTTCACAGAGGGAAATACGTGAGTGGAATAACAGATGACCTAATTAACCCCCCCCCACCCATTCACATCTTCCTGCAGTTGCAAATAGCAGCTCTGATCTAATAGGGAGCAGAGTGACTGTAAGCAGCAGCCACTCTGCTTCAGCATCCCACCTAAACACTCCTCAGCATGACCTGTGGGTTTGGTGGTGCCACGCTCGTCCCATTGCAGCCACTGCATGGAGCCATGGTCGTGCCTTAGGGCTCAGCCACTCAGCCTCCCTTTCGTTCTGTGAGCTTAGGCAGCACATTAAATCTCTGACTATTTACTGAGGATGCAGAAGGGCATTTAGTGCATTTCTCTATTTCCCATGGCTGTGTTATTTACTGCCCTGCCTGGCTTCCCTTCAGTTACCTCTGAGAATGCTGCAAAGTTTTAAGAGCGTAATGAATGTAGGAGCTCCTGATGTGAAGCAGAGACAGGAGGTGGCCGATCTGTTAGGGAGCATATTTTGTGCTTAGTTGGCAGCAAGAGAAATGCGATTCTTCCTATCACTTGTATCCCTGCATTAGGGATGCTCCTTTTATTTTAAGCTGGTGCCAGGGTTTGATGAATTGAATGGGTTTTTAACATGCCAACAGATCAACAAACACTTTTTTCCCCTGAGAACTGAGTTGGCAGGCAGCCTGGAAAGTGCCAGGTTACCAAGGGTTAAAACCCTGTGGAACAAAGTCATTTCCATGAGCTATTTTCTCCACCCCCTCAAAGATGATAAATTATTGCTTGATGAAAAATAAAACGGTATCACTAAGCAACTCTGGGGCAGGAGCTGCCCGTGCTGCAGCCCATGGAGGACGATTGTGTCCTCTGCATTTTTCAAGTCTTTCTTCCTACATTTGAGGTTAGGAACACTTTGATAAGGTTGCCAATGCTGCTCCTGGCTCCCCATCCAACCCCAAGGGAAGGGAATCTTGCTGGTTTACAGGGATGCAGAAAGCTGTCCAGCTGCTTTGTCCCAGTCGTACTATGGGTGTGCAGGGTGCTAACATGGGAGAGATGGGAGCTGCAGGGAAATCACTGAGTCTCATTCAGCTTCCTTTTCCCCAGACTTAAAACAACAAAGCACTTAAACGCTGTAAGGCAGCCTTTTAAAGGGTCTTTATACATCCCATAGATACAGCTCATCTTCATTTAATACGTATTTTTAATTTTTTCCTAATTTCTACAGGGGTATCATAAGAGTTTATCATAAGTTCTAAGTTTGGTAATTATTTTCTTCAAAATTCTCTTGTAGAAGAGGAGGGATGGATGTTGAAATGAAATTAAAATGTTAATTATGTTTAGAAATGACTGAAGAGTCTAATAGCTTTGGCTGGTACTTGATCAAGCACCAAAACAAGCTCTGCTTCCCCCACACGTGTTTTCACCATAAGACAGGAATAATAAGAGCAAACAATGAGATGAATCAAGATGTGAAGTCATTAAGGATTTTACCAAATGGCTCTGATTCCCCTCTATTTATTAACAGCTTGCAGCAAGCTGCGGATCTCAATTATCTTGGTGTAAATCTGCAGTGATTTCCTCAATTTTGGCCAAGTTACCTGACACAAGGGATGCTGTCATTGAATTTAGTTCAGCTGCAAGCTCCTGAGTGGTCATTAAAGCTCTCTAATGGCATCCAAGGGGAGGAGAGGAGCTATTTAGGCTCTTATTAGAGGAAGCTCAAGAGAAGAAAAATACGGCTCAACCATCAGGGAAACTTGCTGACAGCAAGAGATGTATTGGGCTGTGAAGTAGTTTCCTATGGGAAGTGGTGGAAATTCTGTTAAAATCAGCCTGCACCAAATTCTCCTGAGCTCCTTCTCTGCTTTTAACTTGCCCCCTCATTGCTGACACAGTTCTTCTGCTGGTTCCTTTTCTGTTAGCTGGGACTTGGGATGGAGCTGTTGGTGCTGCATTACTGGTCTGTGCTAATGTGATTGTATGGAAACTGTTGAGTCCTGGCCTGAACCACTGATTGAGCACCTGGGGAAAGGACCTGGTCAGCCCTGGGAGCACAGATGAAGGCAATTTACCTGTGATTGGAAGGGGTGGAGTCTGGCTGCACCTCTCTTAGACCCCCCATTTAAGGGCTGACTGCCCCTGGGGAAGGCTCTCTTTCTGGAGGTCTCTTCTTCACAGAGTTTTCCTTCCTAGCTCTTTGGGGGTGGGTGAGCAGTCCTTTTTTCCTTCCCTTATAACCCGTTTTTATTGCATTGGTCCCTCTGTTGTTACACCTCTTCTATTACCATTCCATTATGCTAAGTTTTCTGATTGTTCCTATTCTCTATTGCCTGAAGCCTTGCCCTGGGCGTAGGAGGCTTCAACCACAGCTTTGAGTATCAATATGTGGCGCTGTGCTGGAAGGTTTTGTTGGCAACAGCATCCTGAGAAAAATGCAAACGGTGCTCAGCGAGGCATGAAAGCAGTTTGTAAGCAGTGTGCAGCGTAGGTGACCTGATCAAAGGGAAAAAACAAAGCCAAGCCCCAACTGCCTGCTGTGGAGCTGCGAAGCAGAAAAGCGAGCTGCTCTGCTCGTGGTACCACTGTGTCACTGCTGTCACCCCTTGCTCTCACACGTGCCCTGTGTGCTGCTGGAGCACTTGGGTCAGCCTGATGGTTTCTACAGTGTGTGCCTTGTGCTGGTGCACTGTAGCAGCATAGATGCTAACTTCAGAGCACGAGGGCTATGGGTCATGGTTAGGTGATGCAGTTACACCCTGTTAAGGTTAGGGGCAGAGGGACAGGTGTGTGACTGCATGGGGTGGAGTGACTTTCTTCTGTTGGCTGACTTGCAGAGATGGCTGTTCTGCACCCTCTTTTATCTTCCCCAGCTGCAGTGAGATTTAAGACAATGTGTTTTAACACCTGGGAGGGCGTGCTCTGATGCTAAGATCAGTTAAGGCTTCTCAGCCACAGTAACTTGCAAGATGTGTGCATTTGGGTTTGCTTTAAGCACAAAGAGAAACAGGTCCGTTGTTCTTTCAGCACGTTGGTAGTTTTCAGTTTTGTGAATTAAAAAGAGAAGTAAAAAAATAATAATAACAATAATACTGGTGTTAGAGCAAAAAGTTAGTAATAACAAGCAGGAAATGATGATGATAATAATTTAATACACATATACATGCAGGTGTTTCACATTTGGCCATTAGTCACACTGCGTGGTGGGAGACGTTATCTGCAGTCCCTGGTTGCTGAGGTGGTGAGTGAGGCACAGCTGGGGCAGGCTCTGCCTCTGCTGGCTGTTTGCTAACAGCAGCCCCAGCCCTGTGAGCAGGGAAGTGGGGCTGCAGTGCCCACAGGAGCTATGGGTGCAGAGCAGAGACAGAGGCTGATGGAAACCTGGGTGTGCCGGCTCTGGAGGATGGCTTGGGTGAATGTTTGCATCTGCAGCAGTCACAGTTGGTAGCAGAAATACAAGGATGTGTATTTCAGAGGAGCTGGAGCTGCTGTGTCCTCAGAAAAGTTGGAGCATGGCAGCTCCTCTGGCTCTTGGGCGATGCTGTGTATCAATGTGATGAGAGCAGTGATTCCCTTTGGTCCCAAGTTGTTGTACCCTGCCTGAGTGAGCCCTTCTGAGCTCAGGCCACTGCCGTTTTCCTTTCCAGCACCTTTAAGTTATATCCTTCCAAACACAGAACATGCATTCTGCATTCTCTGTTGTGTGTTTAAAGGAGAGGATGAGAAGCATCTACCTATTATGAAACAGAACTAGACCTCAGCTGTGCACATGGGCTAACTAGTGGCTTACAACTGCATCTAGCGAGCAGCCCTCTTGGGAGGACTTGCTCAGAAGAGTACATCCCATGATATGAATGAGAGAATGAGAACCTGGATTTCAGCAGTGCAAGGGAGAGCTCCAGCACAGAGAACCAACGACAGTGTAGGCAAACAGAAGATTTTTCTTGAGTAAAGAGAAGTTTTTTTGGTGAAATGGGTTGGTGCTGATGAAACTTCCATAGGAAATTTGTTGATCTCAATGAATTGGAGGGGGGAAAAATGGCAACTATTCCCTATCAATTTTACAGCAAGGGGAATATGATCTCATCCACCCTCTCAGCAGCTCTATCAGCTTCTAGGTGATAATTCATTCAGCACTGTCCAGCTCCCACCAGTTTACACAAATGGATTTGTTTGCATCGTTGATGTATATACGCCTCCAATCACAAAACCAATTATTAATGCAGTTTTTTTTCCCTTTTACTTTTCCTGCCTTAAGTTGCTGAGATTGGCAGCCTGGTGCTACCTTTACATGGCTGTGAGAAAGCACGGGCTTTACAGCAGGTCTAACTGAGGCTGTCAATTTTTATGCCACGCCAGACTTCTGCAGCAGAGCATCTGATGTCTGCTTTCATTTCTGCAGGCACCTCAAAGATGATGAGTTACTACATGGACACAACCATTGGCAACACGGGCCCTTATCCTTTGGCTCGCCCTGGAGCAATGGTAAGAAAGGGCTGGGGGTTATTTTGCTATCTCTAGCAGTGGCTTTTCTCTTTGGCTGCTGTGTCAATGGCAGACCATTCACTGACACAGCTTGGTGTTGACTGCTAAATCATCCTGAGGTTCCATGTAGTTCAGAGTGGCATCCAGAGGCTGAGTGTTTGCTCAGAGCTTATCTCAACCTCTCGAGCTTGCAAACCCAAGCTGGAAATAGGATTGTTGCATCGGATTTCCTGCGCTTGTCGTCAGAGGAGGATTGTTAGGGTAACCATTGTCCTGCAGCCTCCGCTCCACACGCTGACCTTCACCTGCTGTGGATGAATGCAGCAGCATCAGCACAAAGCAGACCTGGCTTTGGAAAAGCTTTGGTTGCGTTGGCTGGAGTTTTTTGGTAAATATTGGGCTTCCTCTTCTATGGCAGCTCCTTTTTGTTTGGGCAGTTGCTGGGTAGTTGTATAAAATACGGATTAAAATGCAGTGCTGGGCATGTCTATGTGGATATCAGCAGCTGTGGGGCAGGTCTGACAGTATGTTGTGCTGCTCCTGAGCTGTGCTCTTTGTGCTGCTGGTTACCTTATGTTTGTACATGACCTTTATTGAGGAAATCACATCAATGGACATTTCTCCAAAGAAATGACAGCTAGTGTTAAAGACCCTAGACAAGGTCAGATGTGAGCTGTATCTTTGAGCTGGGACACCAGGGGATACAGAAGACTTGCTAGAAAGCAAAATTATCACCAAATTAGGAAGAAAGGCCACTGTGACACATGAAAAATGTCTAACACAGCTCAGTATCTTCCTTTTAAATGGTTCCAAGAATGTATTTGGCATTTAAACGTTGATTGGAAATGAAGCAAAACTGTTTCCATGTGGGGAACTAACAATAAAAAAAGAATGGATGCAAACATCCTGAGTTTATTTACGTGTATGACTGTATGTATGCATATGTTGCTACTCTTCTACTGATGTACACATGTATGTGGCACATGTGTAAAATCTGTAATGTGGTTTATCTGTGTGTGCACATACGGTGTGTATTTATGTACAGTGGATATATCTATAAAGATAAATGTAATGAATGTGTGTGTACATAATGGAAGTGATAGCCTGGGATTATTTCCATGTATCTGTATGTATATATGTGTTATTTAGAAGTGTAATATCAATAATGAGAGCTGTAGCTAGAACTAGGCACATGCATGTACCTACCTGCCTATGTAGCACACACAAGTAGATGCAGATAATGTATGTGAATGACATGCCTTACATTATAAGGGGCTTTCTGACCCCTGGCTGTTCAGCTGGGGCGGCTCTGGGCCGGGTCAGGTGAGTACTTTGTGATTTTATCCTGGAAGGGAAGGGTTGGTTCTGGGTTTGTTTTGCTGCTGAGGTGACACGGCTCCCTCCCCTGCCCAGAAGCAAGGTGCTGGCAGCTGCTATGAGGACCCCTGGATGCCTTGCAGGCTTCAGTCAGCCTGCTGCCCACCCAGGACCTGCTGCCCACCGTGGGACGAGGCGGCCATCCAAGAGGTGCCCACCGGCCTGGAGCACTACAGCACAGGTAGGAACTCTGCTCTGGGGGATGTGGAGTGGTGGGAGGGCCGGTCTGCTCCTCCCTGCAGGTGCAGCCTGGAGATGGGCTGCTTTAATGTCCTGGTTTCGTGTGTACGGGCTTGAGCTGGTTTCTTTGGAAAGATAAAGAGGCCTCTGTGAAGGGGAGCCTGGACTCCTGAGCCTGAGTTCTGCTGTTACACTGAGTTGGGGTCTCTGTCCCCTTCCTCCTGGGGATGGTGGTGCGATATTCAGTGCTATATGGCTGCAGGTGGAGGCATGGCCATGCTCTGCTGTCAGGGTTGGGTGGTTGCGATACAGCCTACAGTTAAGCCCATGCCCTGGCTTTGACTAAATGATGCTGCTCTGTGATGCACTCATACTTTGAAAGTCGTTACAAAATCACCGGTGACTAATTCTTGCCCTGTACTTTGTTCAACCTGTGAAGCAGAACTTCAGCTTGGGCTGCTGCTTGTGTAACTGACAGTGCAGGGCTCTGGGTCTGTACCCAAAGGTGTGACGCAAGCAGAGAGCTTTGGGCTTTAGTGCAAGCCCTGTTTCCACTGCATCATGCTGTGTTTGCTGCCCCTGTGCCGCGCATCTTGGAGGCTTCCCCTGCCCACAGCACAGTGATTCAGCTTTGGGAAGAGGTGTCACCAAGTCTCGCTTCCCAGCTGTTCTGTGGCAGAAGGGAGGGCTCAGGTACACCATGGCACAGGCAAACAGCAAAACGAAGTGAAAGAGCTCAAATTGCACGAATGTGACCTTTGCAAAGGGCCAATATGAAGTTTATGTTTCACTTAAGTCCCACATAAGCCTATCGTGAAGCACATAAATCCCATGTAAGCTTTTGCATGGCATGTGCTGGTCTTCTGTGACTTGTTCCCGGCTTGTTAGTTATGCACATTGGCCCCTTGGGAGGGGAAAAGCCCTGATGTTTGGAGACTTCTTTGCAGCTAAAGAGTTCAGCAGAACCAGTGACTGTTGCGGTCAAATGTACAATTTGAAATCTCTCCTTGGCAAATATTCAGGCATTTCAACTTTTTTCCTTTGGTGAACACTTGTGTGTTAGCTGGAGATGAACCGAGAGCTGTGGCTGGAGGAAAAACTCCACTGTCTATTCCCAGCCACTCTTGTTTCAGCTATTTTGCTCAACTCCTGTGGGTGACCTCTCTCAGCGTGATGTCAGCTCTGCTCTGATGAAATCTGCTCTTGCAGCATTTGGATTTACTCAAACATTTTGCAAATCTGTGCCTGGAAAGTTTTCTTTGTGTGTTGTTTTGTTGTTCTGTTCTGTTTTTTTTCCATACCCTCTCCCCTTTTCTGTGAAAGCGCTCTCTCCAGGGACCAGCATATCTGTAACCCACATCTTCATTACCCCATGCTGGGCCTGTGAAATTTCTTGCTGCAGAGATTGGAGCCTGGTTCAAAGCTCACTGGAAAAAAAGATGTCGCTGTCTTTAGCAGGTTTGAGTCCAACTTGGAATACACTGGGACTGTAGGACAGAACTCTAATTCTCTTGCAGTACCTAAAAATTACGTTTCATTTCTTCCTGTTGCAGTGTGTGGTACTCTTTCTCTTATTATTACTATTATTTTAATGCTCTGCCATTTTTTTTCAGAGTCTAGAACAGTTTCTAATTTTAAATGAGAGGAAACTCTCATTTGTATATACTGCTAGGAACAGTCTTTCATTTCTCCTTTGTGTTTTGGGTGTGCATGAAAGCCATTTGTCATCTATTCTTCTCTATACTGGAGGCTATTTTGGTTTTCATGGTCTTGATGTTGGTGAAAGAAACAAGTCAGCAAGGAAAATGCAAGTGTGAATATATCCTCTCACAACAGAAACCCGCAACACTTCTAGAAGTTTTAGAACTGCTTGGCTTTGTTGAAAGATATTTTGCCTTTGAAGCTCGGGTGAGTTTATTTACATGATGCTTGATGTCTGCTAAGATTATTTGGTGATATGTATAAAGAAAAGCCTGATGTGGATTTGGTTTGTAGATAAGGATAAGAAAAGAGGTGGGTTTTATTTTACATTTTTATTACAACAAGAACTGGAAGTGATGTGTAGTCATTTTTATTTGTTAGCCTGCTGTCACGACCTGTAGTACATGGGTTGGGACTGTGCCTGCCCTGAGAGTCAGCCACGTTTGGGTCCATACAAGTAAAAGGGCTTCACCCAAAGGTGTTAGAAAACAACCAGTGAGAACTGCCTGCCTATGAAAGCTGGCGTCTGTGGCAATAGGGGTGTAGAGACTTGCTCATTAGTTGCATTACCTGGTGACCCAAAATCAAGGGTGCTGTGAGTCTGCGTGAAGCAGCAAAGGTACTGAAAAGATGCTGTCACACTGAGCACTGGGATTTCCAATTCTTAAGGCAATAGTATCTTAATATTACTCTCTGGTAATATTTTTTTTTTTTTGGTGGATAAAAGTTTAGGCACAAAAATGGAGAGGAAGAAAATGTTTGATAGCAGCATCGTAATTTCAGCACTGACATTGTCCTGGCTGTGCTGTTTTTTGAGCCAAGGTCACTTTGACAACCCCTTTCGCTATGAACTGGTTTATTTTGCTTAGTGATAGGGGAGATAAAACTGTTGTTAATGGCAGGAGAAGGATGAAATGCCTCTGGCGGAAGAAGTTGCTCTGATTGTTGTGCTGAGTTAGCACACTTGGACTGAAGGTGCTTGCAGCCTTTGGACACTAAGAGGAACCTTTGGGCAACTGAACTCGCTTTCTTTCAAACAAATGCATTTGAGTTTGAATTTTGCAAGACAAGGAATGAAATTAAAATGTTTTCTAGAGGAGAGATGAGAGCTGTGGGTCTGACCCTGCTTCTTTGGCTGGTGCTGCTTTTGAAAGATTTTGGCACCAAGACACTGTCACATACAGAAGGCATTACCATAGGATGACCCCCAGCACCCAGGGCTGTAGGAGGGCACAGTGCACAGAAGACAATTTGACCCAGTCTGTGGCTGATATTGTCTGGACACATTATCTCTCAGCTCACAAAAAAGGGTTTGTTAGCTTGGGGGCAGTGTGTCTCCCTAATGCAGCCCTGCATCCAACTCACTGGTGCTCGATGGACATCTTGTCTTGGGTCCTACAGGCTGGGCCATAGCAGTGTCCTGCTGGATTTGGCAGGAAAGCAAAGCCTTTGGAGCTGAAACAAAGCACTGCAGCACATTGCATTGCCCCACACCACGTGGAGATGCCCTCCTTTGTACCCACCCCCCCTAACTCTGGCTGTGATCTTTCTCCAAGCCCTGCTCTCAGCTCGGAGTGCACTGCAGGCAGAAATCACATGGGGACCTCCTGCATCCATCACAAACTCTCTCTGCTTTTCCCCCATCTTGTCCTCCTATGCCACAAGACCTGCTCTTTACTCTTCTGGGTCCTGATGGAGATCCCCAGAGGGAAGCTCTTTCTGTGAGCGTTTTCTGGGCTGTCTTCCAGGCCCATGCATGGAGGAAGGGAGCCTGGGGAGGGGGAAGGTGAAAGCTGACCAGGCTCAGCCCAATGGCTTCTCCAGCTGCAGCACATTTTCCAAGTGAAGCTTAGGGGAAAAAAAAAAAAAAAAAAAATCTGCATTTTTTCATGTCCTTTTATCCTATTTTTAACTGTGGCCTCCTTCCTTTTCTCAGCCTCCTCCAACACTTCCCCCCCCCCCCCCCTCCCCTGTGCTGCTGCCTCCCCCGCACGCTCTCTGCAGAGATGAATGGGCGTCTCTTCGCAGGGCACGCACATCTGCTTGCGGCTGTGAGACCCTGCAGGACTTCTTAGGCAGCTCACAGCCCGGCTGTCCTCTCTCCCTAATAAATGAGGAGTGGGCAAGGGAGGACGTGGAAGAAGGTGAAGGGAAACAGCAGTGGGTGGAAAAAGTGGTGAGCCGCTCCCGAGAGGGATGAGGAGGCAGATATTATTTGCTTTCAGGTTCAATAAAAGGCACAGACAAAATCCTCTGTGCAGATGCCTCTGCCCAGCCTATTGCCACTCATTCCTCCAAACTCACAGCTCACCCCGATTCTCATCTGATGTCCACTGCATCTCTGCAAAGGGATGAATGAAGCCTTTCTGCTGGGCTCTGTTGTCATCCTCCAGCCGGCGTGGCGGTGCTGCCTCTCATAAGCCTTGGGGTCTGGCGCTGTTTATAGCCTGGCTAGAATGAGTTTCTTTGACCCTTTTTCTTCCTGGCAGTCTTTGGGTGTTTCATTGACTACAGTTCAAGTCATGTCACACCTACTATAAATGGGCACTCTGGGTTTGTTGGAGGGCAGACACAATTTTCTCCACCAATGGCACTTTTTTCAGCCTAGAGGCAGAGAAAAGATCCCTCTATGTCTTGTGAATGAATTGTAAAGCTGTGGGTTGTCTGTGTCTCCTGGTGCTTCTTCAAGGGCACTCTGAAGGATGCTGAGCTGCTACTGGTTTGCTCTCCAGGTTGGTGGGGAGTAATTGGTACCTGATTTGTGCAGATCTTTGTTCTGCAGGTGAGGAAAGCATGTGCATGTGACCCTGTGATACCGAGGTATGCTCCCTCTACATCCCCTGTTGTAACCTGCTGCAAGTCAAGACTTGGGGAGGTTTATTTGCACTGAAGCAAGGGAATGACAAAAATCCAGGCTTTCACTTTTCTATTTGTTTCCTGCTTGACCCTGGAAAAATCCGTCTTGTCTCTCAGAGACAAAGCCCAAGGGAGATCCCTTCACTTTGGGTTGTCACCAGAGAATGAGCACTGAGCTCTTTTCCCACTTGAGCTGCAGACTTGTGTCAGCTGGAGATCAGCTGCTGCATGGGGGTGAATTGTGCTCTGAACAGGGGATGGTGCTAGGTGAAAACTGGAAGAATGTTATACTTTTTTGGGGGGTGATACCTACAGATTTGCAGGGGGCCACCTTATGAAAGGGGATTTAGAGCTCAGCTCAGGGGGAAAACTCAAGATGCTCTTAAAACACTGTGCCAGAAACATCAGAAATGTGAGCTGCAGTACTGATGGCTTTGGCATGTA